TATGTATGATGTGAAAGAATAGAAACTGTTAATTGGAATATGGAGAGAAAGGATTTTTCCTGCAAGAATTCTCGTACTTGGTTAACTTGGCTGCTGTTATTTTTCACAGTTATGGTGGGCTGGTAAATGTGAGAAGTATCACAGGAGCAGCTCCCTCTCATCTCTCTTTTTGTCACAGGCACAGTGAGCCAGAATTCCTTTTCTCATTTCTTGAGTCCTCGTGGGCCGAGAGGGGAATCTGCTGTGTCACCTCCGTGGTCCCATTTCCTTGTGGCCAGGAGTGTCATGGCCTGGCAGGAGCGTGCACAAAGGCACCAGGAGCCACAGTGGGTTGTCGTTCCTGTCCATACCTAAGAGCTGCCTTTGCAAAAAGAAACATGTGCTGTGGGTCTTAATCCTGCAGGTACGTCCTGATCCAGGGGGAAGCCAGAACTGAGCCTCTCGAACCCTCCCAATGCCACGATCCCGGGATTTGGGGCCTTGGGAAGCGGGAGTGGCACCGAGCTCCCCCTGCAGGCCCGGCCGTCAAACACAGCGCCTTTGGACTCACCCTCCTCCCGAGCGAAACGAAAATACAAACCTGCCGATTTTACTGGTTTTTAAGCTGTTCTTTCCTCGGCCAAACCATGTCTTAGGGTTGAGGCTGGAATTTAATTTGGAAACTGTTTAGAACAGTTTCTGTCACAAATCCTAGTGGATATTTCCTGAATTGCCACCAGACGATGCCGTGTGAGCCGACCCAGACGGACACGCTGTCCATCACCTACAGATAAATCCTGTCCGTGGTATGGAGCTGTGGGACCTATTTCTGTGGTTCCTGGGACACACCAGTGGAGCAGAACTGGGCTCAACCACAGCATTGCCAGCGTGCCCCACCTAAAAAAGAGCAGAAGGGAAGCAGGAGACTCGAGAGCGTTCCCAACAGTCAGCCTAGAACACAGTTGGCTCCTTTCTGGGATCACAAACATTCTTCCTAGTTAAACTGTGGCCGAAGAAGGTATTTGATCCCAAAGGCCATTGTAGCTGCCTAATGCTGAGGGGTTTGGGGTGGTCAGCACTGGCTGATAGGAGAAGTAAAAGGGAGTGGAAGGCAGAGCAGAGTCTGTTACTGGCACAGGAGCAGGAGAGCCCTGTCGTGACTCCAGGGACAGGTATTTCTGCTTTGACTTTACAAACCTCCTTTGTTTCCCAGGGAAATAGTTACTCTGACTCATCTCTTTTCTACTGTACTGAGAATTCAACTTTGGATTGTAACATGGAACAGTTGATGCCTTTTAAACTAAGAACTACCCTGTTATCCAAAACGGACATGTTTTGCCTGACCCAGATCTCTTTGCAGACCGAAGTGCAAGTGCACAGCTGTGTGATGGGATAGGAAATGTCCGTGATTTAGGAGCTGTTCAGGGAACAATGAGCTTTGTGAGACCCACCCGGGTCTGGGACAGGGTGGCAGTGGAGCCACTCCCCTGCTATGTGACCAGCCCTGTTCAGCAGCTTCCTCAGCCCTGCAAACCAAACGCTGAAATGCAATCTGTAAGTTTGAAATGACTGAAATATTTCGCCTTCCTCTGTTGAGCCCAAATAACATGAGCATGGTTTTGGTTAGGAAGTTTGAACCTTGCCTGCACTCTGCCATCCTCCACCCAGAGCTTGCACGGCCACGGAGCTGGGAATGGCCTTATGGAATAAGGAAACACACTCCTTCATATGGAACTAGAAAATAAAAGTCCTGAGTCCAGATTTTCCAACATAGCAGGAGGAATAATCCCAACAACTGAACATTAAGTTAGTAGGAGAACTTCTTTCATACGCCTCACTCATCTCCTGATCTGACCTTTTGCTTTATCGAACAAGATTAGACAGAGCTCTCATCTAGAAGCTGGGATGGGATTGATTTCTTGTTCAGTCACTCAAAGGAAAGTGGGTTTGATTTGACAAAATTTTCATGAAATTTTGTAATTGATGCTGATTTTTCAGTTGAGCTGCTGAACTACTGAACTACTCACACAGCCCTTGGAACATAAGCTATGAAAAAGGGGTTCCCCCCCCCTTTCTCTTCCCCATAGGTGTCACTCTTGAGTTTAATGTGGATTCATCTCCGGGATTTTATCCAGACATCAACTGAGTTAGGATTCACACATTTCTTTAGGGCCATAGCACATAATTCACCCAACCTTAATTTTTCTGTGAAGGTTTATCTCTCTTGTTCCACCTAAACGTAAATACAATATTAATGAACCAAACAGACGGTTGGACACAGAGTTTTCTTTGCGTTGCAGAAAGGTAAAGCTTTATTGGAGGCATTGTCATGCAGCAGAGCAGTGAGTGCACTGCAGGAATGTGTGTGTAGGCACAGTGATTGCAGTGATGGACAGCATGAAAAGGGAGAAGGAGATCATCTGAGGAGAAGCCCAGAAATTGTTGTGGGCTGGGCTGCTCCCATGGCAGTGAGTGGATCAGGGAAGCCCAACGCACCGGTCGTATCTTAACACACTCTGGACTGCCCTGTGGAAAGAAAGAAGAATTGATTGTTCTGATGGGGAAATCAAGAGTATCTTGCAGCACTGATATTTCTATTTATGCGCTATTTAAATACCCATTTGTGAGCAAAAGCATGGGAAAGGAGATCAGCCTGTGTCTGGAACTGGAGCCAAACCACATTGAAATGAAGAGCTTTGATAGAGAATGGTTTTAATCTCTGCTGCAATTGCAGATGTGGAAGTCATAGGACAAGGTTGGTATTAACAGGAAAAGGGATGAAACACAAAATGTGAAAGGCATGGGAACAGGATGGGTTTGGATCCTCTTTGGAAGATGTTTCTTACCTGCCTTGTCACTAGATTGACCATGACAGTAGGAAGTAGAAGAATGAGAATGGGAGGACATTCCCCCTCCTTGACATGATCTGTGAAAGGAAAGGAGTTTTAACAAAGGGAAAAATAAATACATACTGACAACACATGCAGTGTGTGTAACAGCTCGGCTTTTCCTGGACCTCACAAATAATTCTTTACATTTTTATTTCCTCCCCTCTAGCTGTATTTTCCTAGAAAATTATAAAAGCAGAAACAGCAAAACACTCCAGCAGCATAATTCTTGTACTCTCCCACTCCAGCTGTTCTTGCTCATCTGCTGACAGCAGGAACTTCATTACAGTTTGGTTTGGCAGGGTGATTCCTCTCACAGAATTCACTCCACACAAACAGGTCAAGAGGAACTGATTAACTCAAAACCTCTCAGTAACGATCTGCTTTGTGTTTCCCTCGGTGTTTGATGTGCTTATGAAGTTTCTGATAGATACATTTCAACGCAGATGCTGTGAAAAAGAAGCTGCTGAATTTAGGTTTCAGCTACAGACAAGTAGAAGATTCTGCTCTGCCTTCCA